GGCATTCTTACGGAGGGGACAAGTGGAGTCTCTTCGTTGTCAAAAGAGAAGGACGTTTGGAGAAATGACCAAGAGGAAGTGAAGCCACCCCAGGTTCTCCTGCTGAAAGGCAGCTGCCGTCTGAGGTTTCTTGATGTTCTTGATTTATTTACAGCCAGCGGTTAGGGTCATAGTTCCTCTCTTGCCCCCGAGTGGCTTCTCCTAGTGACTCACAGAATCGATGAGGTGCTTGTCACAGTTTCCCTTCAGCCTCCCTGGCACAGGGGCGGCAGGGTCTTGGGGGCTGCCCTAGGCGCTTTGGTGGGGGGTGTTGTACATTTTGGGTAGCAGTAAAATGCGTACTGTGAATAAGAAGTCAGAGGAATGAGCAGATACATATTTGCAAGTTCCCTGTCTTACCCAGTCATCCTTCACATAGACAAGGGAAGGAAGGGAGAGGTGAGACTGAATAATAGAACAGAAAATAAAATGTTGAGTTTCAAGAAATGTCTCTGCTCAGGCCACCGGTTCTTTGGGGGTGCCTTAAATACTAGCCTGCGATGACTAAGCTGGAAAAGACAGATCCTATTTTTAAGGAGACTGCGGAGAGCCTTGCGGTTATTCTCAGTGCTCCTGCTTTGTGTAGAGGACTCCGTACACTGTGAGCCAGCCAATGATTTTTCTCCTAGACCACTCTAAACTCTAAGAACTCTGTTACTAACTAAACATTACTCACCGTGAGGGCTCGCTCCTGTGAGGGCTCAGATCCCGAGGGACGCCTTTCTTTTCTAAATACTTGGCTGATTCTGAACTCAGTGCCTACGTGCCTACAGCTCGGTTACATTTTCTAAGGCATGTTAGCAGCCCACCTTTGCTGTACTATCTACTTGGTGTGTGTACACACACAGATGCTGCTACATGCCTGTCTGTGGGACAATTAGTCAGTCTCCCTCAGAAAGCTTCGTCTGTAAAATGCCGAGGTGACAGTATTAGTGCATTATCTCGCAGAGTGGCTAAGATGTTTAAAGGCATTCGTAAATACTTGGAAGGATGCCTGGCAGACAGAAAACCCCCAAGAGGTATTAGCTACATCGACTTCATGGCAGTGACTCATGTATTAATATTTACCCCCAAGTGTGCCCAAAGATCAGCAAAGCTATTAGTATAGCGAACATGACAGTGTCAAAACAAACAACTTCTGTTTGGTGGGTACCTACTACAGGCCAGACACATAAGTACTTTGTCTCATTCACTGTTTTATCTCCATTTCAGAGACTACGAACTGAGTCTCAAATGCATGAAGCCACTTTCCTGAAGTCACACAGCCCGCACAGGTGACAAAACCTGGTTTAAAACCAAAGATCCCCCCGCTGCTGAAGTCTGTGGACCTTCCAACTTCTAAACCATATAATAACACACTCAGCTGCCTCATCTCTCCTGCTTCTTGTTGCTGCAGTAACTAACAATCGTTTGGCTCAGAGCTCAAGGGACGCATTTCTGATTACAACCCGATAAAAACCTTCTTTTAAGCCCATAGCTTATTGGAAGACAGAGTGCCTCCTAAGTGTCTGGAAACATGGAGTGCCAGGCCTTGTGTTGGGCCGGGAGAGTCAGGGGTGAACAAGCCACCGTCCCAGTGATTTAGATGCTTCCCAGGCAGTGCTGAAGCCAGACCACTAATGGTTAATTACAGTGCATGACACGAGGTGTTTCCTGTTAGAGATGAGATAAGATGTTGCAGAGATATATTTCTTGGGAGGCACACCAGGCCTGCCTTGTGAGGTCCATTGTCAGGGATATAGGGACCTTATCCTACCCACAGAACCTGCTAGCGCATGTGGTTACCTGGCCGGGATCCCACATGGATTGGAGACAAACACTTTACTCTCTAGAAGTAGTGCCACGATGCCCTTTTTGCAGACGAGACAGTCATAGTTGGATAGGTCTAGTCAGGCATCTAAGACCACCCAGTGATAAGAGACTTGGAGCTGAGTTGTCTGACAGATCTGCCCAGGCCACAAGACACTCGCATCTTCCTGTCCCATCGCATCTTCCTGTCCCAGCCTTCTATTGCTTTGTGTTTGGAGTATAGTATAATCTAAATGCAAGTCCGGCCTTCCTATCAGACTGGGTCTCATTGTTGCATTTGTTTTAATAAACATGATTCCACATGTAGACAAGTTCTCCCTCCCCCCTTCCCCCCCCCTCTCTCTCGTGTGTGTGTGTGTGTGTGTGTGTGTGTGTGTGTGTGTGTGTGTGTGTGTGTGATGCATGTTGGTTGGCGCACATATGTTCCCTGGGGAGCCATCAGCCTTGTCTCTTGAGAAAGTCTTTCCCTGGGACCTAGGTTTTGCTTATTAGGTTAGACGGTCTGGCTAGTGAGTCTCAGAGACCCTCCACCTCACCAGTGCTGGGTTACGAGTGAGCACAGCTACATCTGGCTTTTAGTGTGGGCCCTGGGCATGGGACTCACGCCCTCGGGCTCATGCAGCGGGCAATTTACTGACTAAGCAGTCTCTCCACCCCCATAAATAAACCTTTGAAACAAATATGAAAAGCTCCATTCACAACTAAACCTACGGATTGCTCTTTCCTAATTTTACAGAAATACATATGCATCTTCTGGAGTTTCACATTTGTGGATATATATGAGAAACCATTCAGTGTTTAATTGATTTAAATGAATTCAGAGCCTAGTATTGTCTATTCTATAGTCCCCTGGAAGTTGGGTGTGGGGCTACACTCCTATAATGCAAGCTTCTGGAAGGCTGATAGGGAGAATTCAGAGTTCAAAACTAACATGGGTTACATATAAGACATTGTCTGAGAAAATTAGCTAAAATAAAGCACTGGAATTTTGGAGGGTTGTACCGGGCAATGATGGGGTATGCAGAAAAAAAAAAAGAGTTAACATTGACTGAGTACCTTAAGAAATCTATGAGGATGTAGGTTACTCAAGGCTCTCCTATCAACATGAGTAGTCACCAACTAGATGAACAGCTGTCCGGAAGAAAGGACACTGGGACCTGCGGTGAGCTGCAGTTAGCTGGAAGACAACAGGCAAATCATGGTGAGCATAACACCAGGCTGTGATCGGAGATGTCATTCTGTAAATATGTCTCTCTTATTGGTGAATAAAGTACTGTTGGCTAATAGGGAAGCAAGATGGGTGGGACTAGGAGTCAAGGAGGACTCTGGGAAAGAGAGGCAGAGTCAGACACCATGTAGATTGCCAGAATAAGAGGTCCGGACCCTTTTCTCCGGTAAGAGAAATACTTAGATTAACAATTACGGGTTAAATACTTAAGTTGGAGATAGCCAGTAAGAAACCAAGCCAAATGGCCAACAGCTTCATAATTAATATAGTGTCTTGTGTGTTTTGGGGGGTGCTGAAACTGTAGCAGGGCCCAGGCGGTTGGCAAGGAAGACTACACTCTACAAAGCTGGGTATCCAAAGAACCACACGGACAAATCCTTTAACGGGCATAAGAGGGATGATCTGCTCTTGGCTAACTCTCTTCTGTTGATTCCTGCTTTTAAAATCCCCACCCCACCCTCTCCCATCCAGCCTCAAATCTCCCAGCATGCACTTGTGGTCAAGCGGAACAAACACTGCATGGTCCCCCAAGGAATGTACTCCCATTCTTGCTTCCAGGGACCTGAATGTGTATTTCCGTCCTCTGGTATATCCTTCCAGCACTTACCCTTGATCTCTGGCTTCTTACTCTTGTCTTAAAGGTTAACTCAAGCCCTCTCCAAAAGGACCAGGGAATTGGGGCTAGAGAAATGACTTCCTGGATGAAGTGCTTGCCGTGCAAGTGTGAGGACTGACTGGAGTTTGGACACCCAGAATCCTCACAAAAGCCAGCCCAGTACTTGGGAAACAGAGTCAGGGGATCCCCTGCCCAGATTGACAAACCAGAATTGGTGAGCTCTGGGTTCCGTGCAAGATCCTGCCTCAAGAATTTAAGTGAGGCCCAATCCAGAAAGACGCTCAGTTGTCAGCATCAGGCCTCCATGCATGTATGTACATATGTGTTTATAAACCTACACATGTCATGGGCCCATAGACCTGCAAACATACGCTCACACACACCACACACCTACACATGAAAAAGCAAAGTCTTCACTCTTTGGTAGGACTACTGTTTTTCATGATTGCTGCATGTCCGTGTCTGTAAGGAGAAGCTTTTTCTTTGAGAGAAGCCTTCCCGACAGCCTGGTTCTAGAGCTGCATCAGTCCCAAATAAACACACAGGAGGCTATATTAATTATGAAGCTGTTGGCCTTGCTTGTTTCTTACTGGCTAGCTCTGACTTAAGTAATTACCCCATAATTGTTAATCTAAGTATGTCTCTTACCGGAGAATAGTTCCGTGCTTCCTACCCCATGGCGTTACATGTTGACTCTCTGTGTTTCTCCTTCCCAGAGTCCTCCTGGACTCCTAGTCCCACCTATCTAGATTCCTATTGGCTCAACAGTGCTTTATTGACATAAGACTTCCCCAACAAGTGTCTCCAGTAAACCCAAAATTCAGAGGTCACAGGTTGTGTCTTGTCCGTCTTTGTGCTCATTTCAACCTGAAGGGTGCCTGCCTAGTGTAGGATTCTTAATGAAGAACAGATAGAGGGCATTAAATTGCAAGCAAAGGATGGTTGCACACTCTTAAGTCTTAAGGAAACTCTTCCTAAAGGATATCATCAGCTACTCACGGTTTAACGATAAACGGATTTCAGGCTTCACAAAGAAAACGCCTAAGAGGCTGTGACTACAGGAAACTTGTCTGATAGGGGATGTCCTTCTGTATATATGCTTCTCTTATTGGTTGATGATTAAAACACCGATTGTCCAGTAGTCAGGCAGAAAGATAGGCGGGGTTACCAGGAGAGAGGAGGCAGAGAGGAAGAGGCCGTGAAGAGACTCCTTGCTGCCCAAGGAGTAACATGCCGGATTAAAGGTAAGCCACAGACTTGTGGCAACAAATAGATGAATGGAAATGGATGAATTAAGACAGAGCTAGCCAATGAGAAGCCTGAGCCATCGGCCAAGCATTTAATACTTAATATAAGTCTTTGTGTGTTTATTTGGGGCAGAGCGGTTGTGGGACCAGGCGGGACAGAAGCCTCCGTCCTCACTGGTCCAGAGATGTGTGCCAAGCACAGGCTATTATTTATGTATCATCACTGACCCATGCTAAGAATGGGAAGAATTGCAGGGTGTGCATTAGTCAGCTTTTTCTTTCTGTAACATTTACACAGGACAGTTTAGGAAGAGAAGAGGTTTGCGTTGCTCATAGTTGGAGGTTCCCACTCCTGATTGGTTTGGTCCTTTTGCTCTGGTGCGGTTTGCCAGGAACCTGAGGCAGGGGAATCCAGATCACGGACAGCAAGCCAAAGGGAAGCAGAAAGATTGGGTCCCATTGTCACCTTCAAGGGTCCCAGTGACCAGAAGAATTCCCATAGGGTCCGACTTCAAAGCTTCCCCTGCCGCCGCCTCCCAGCAGTACCAGGCTGAGAATCAACCTTCCGACAGTCTTTGGAGGAGCATGCTAGCCCCAGGCTCTGGCCGGCAGCACTTTAGTCGTAAATAATGCTTGTAGACTTCCTGAAAATGAGAATGTTGCTACATTCTGAGTTCTAGTCCTTCTCTGTTGGAGGAAGGCTGGGGGGTGGAGGGGAGAAGGGATGCTGCCTCGTGCTGGAGAACCCCATGAACTCGATAACACAGAAACCAGAAATCGTGCTTTTCTCTGACTCCATTAGCGACCTGGGTGCCTCTTCTCTTAGCTAGGCCAAGTCTGAGATGGTGGAAGACGCTCTACTCCTGTCTCCTTCCTATTGTCTGTAGATCTATTTTCAGGTCATAAAAGAATGGGACCAGGGGAAGTTTCCATGAGGCAGGCTTCTATTATGAGCCACCCCCACCCCCAGCCCCTAGAGCAGACTAGCACACGGTGTGCTTGTGGCTTTAAATTCTACCAGTCTCTGCTGGTGGTGCCTTTACTGCCTGCCTCCGGGGAAGTGATTATTGCAAATGTACATGATTTTATCCACAATATACAGTATCGTGTGAAGCTTGCTTTTCTTGCCTTCAGCCTTTTCTTTCTTACAATTTATTTTAATACGTTTGGAGTTATTATCCCAAACATTAGCCAGCTGGCCCGCTGGGGCCTCCTTTGCTGGATTCTGGGTCTCTCTTTTTCTAATCCTCTCTTCATGGATAATCCACTCTAATGTTTCTTGGCTGTGGCAGGGGTTTGGCTATTACTACCTGTTGACTGGAAATACACTTTGTCCTGTGTAGGTGGCTCTAATTGTTCGGTAATGAAGACCTTATTTGAGTCAGCTGAGGTCAGAGCTATAGTCATGAGATTTGCTTTCTCCCTTCTTGACTTCCAGAAGCTTTGCTTTCTTTTACCTTTTTTTTTTCCTGAGCTCAATTCAGCTGGTTTTGAAAACAGGCTCTAAGAGAAAATGTTAGAAAGAAAGGAAGAAAGAAAGAGAGAAAGAAAGGAAGGAAGAAAGGAAGAAAGAGGGGAAGGAACAAAAAATTAAATCAATGAAAGGAAAAAACAAAAACCCAAGAAAGAAAACAGCAAGAAAGAAAAACCATTCTGGATACCGAGGCACAGATCACAGGTGGGTACCATTTTGTCTGCACCCACAAGCAGGTCTTCAGGAGCCTTGCTGAAGGCTTCCGTGGGGAGCCGAAGGGTCTGCCCCTCCGTTGTCATGGAAAGATCCGGAGGAAAGGTTGGCTGGCTGGGTCTCCATCAACAGGACCCCAGCATACACAAGGTCATTTCTTCGCCTGCTCCTGAGGCTCCCCCATTCGGGATGTCTCCCCATCAGGGAGCTAGAGCAGGGCGTGTGGCCATGTAGCAGAGGCCCAGAGCTGAGGTGCTTTGCAGGGTAGCCATCGCAGTGACGAACTGGAGGGTCCGGAATGAACCGGTTTTCCTAGCACCCATGTCGGGTCAGGCATCAACCGCTATTTAGTCCGTTTCTACCCTGAAGAGAAAGCTTATCCAAATGCATCCACGGTTTACGTCGCAAAAATACAAAACAGTGAGCTCCAAGGAGGAGGAGGAGGACATGGAGTAGGAGGAGCCTGTCCCTCCAGTCCTATTTATTTGGGGAAGAATCCGAGTTTGCCTATAACTGTCTCCTTGTGTGCCAAGTTCAGCTCTCACTGCAAGTCGACCCTGTGACCCTGCCGTTTCTTATTTGCTTTGTCTTGCTTGCAGAGACAGGATCTCTGCAAAACCCAGGCTGGTCTGAAACCCTTGATCTTCACTGCTCAGCATCCTGAGTGCCGAGGTTACCGCCCTGTGCTGCCACACCTGGCTGTGTCCAGCCTGTTAATTCACGTTCCACCAACAGCATTTTCACAGCATTTCAAACTGTGGGGGGTAAAAATCACACGTTTAATGGCCAGGAACTATTTTATCCTTCCAACACACCAGCAAGTCTGTGTTTTCTAGGGTTAAGGTCATGGCTGTTTTCACATGTTTAAACCAGATACCGGCTTTCTCTGGGGCGGTCCCCTTTTTAAAAAGTAACATCATATATGGAATTTATATTTTATTAGCACGTGAAATTATGCTATGTACTCAGTATAAAATATTGATTGCAAACCAGAATTGGCTCAATATTTAGGCTTACCTATAAGAACGAGGCAAATGGCTTCCTTGGTAACAAAATCAAAGCAAAAAAAATGCCACGACATTTAATGATTGTGCGTGTGAGTGTTTTGACCACGAATATGTCTCTGAACCATGTCTGTGCTGTGCCAATGGAAACCAGAAGAACAGAGTGTCAGGTCTCCTGGGATGTGAGTTATAAATAGTTGTGAACTACCATGCAGAGTGCTGAGAATCCAGCCTAGGTCTTCCGGAAGAGTAGCAAGCCCTCTTAACCACTGAGTTACTCTCCAGCCTCCCCGCTTTAATACTATTTTTTTGAAAAGAAGAACTAAACCTTATCCAAAGTGCTGTTTTTTGTTCTTTTTTTTCTATTGCACTTTGGCCATTTTGAACCAAATGTTTTGCTCAGACTCCCCACTGAATGATGCTTCTGGAACTTGTCGAAATTTGTCTGCCAATAGCATAGGTGCCCAAGATCATTCAGGATGCCCCAATTCTCCTGACTTTGGTCCCTTACCTTGAGTTCTCCATGCCCAGCCCTTGCCGCTTGCCTAATTGATTTTGAAAAATTTATACATAGTTGAAAAGCTAACAGTAAAATTTGGAAGATGTGTTTAATTTAGAATTTTTTTTACATTTGATTACCTTGAGCCGTATCCTTTTTTCCTAAAAATATTTTGTTTTTAATTAAAAAAATGCATGCATGTGTGCATGTCTCTGTGTGTGTGTGTGTGTGTATATGTGCATGTAAAGGCAGGGCACGTTGAGGGTTAAGTACCCGGTGAAGGTGCCTACAGAGAGAGGGCAGAAAAGGTTGTCAGATCCTGGGTGGTGTCGACCCATCCAACATGGGTACTAGAAACTGAACTCAGGCCCACTGCCAGAGAAGCTTAGCTGCTGAGGCATGCCTCCCGGCCTCAGATTTTATCTTTACAAATGACAAAATGTTATTCTGTATCTAATGAAGCTAAACTACATGGTGCACAACAGTGAAACACAAGTTGTGTAGTGCAGCCTTCCCGCCAGCCTGGTTCCAGAGCCACATTAGTCCCAAATGAACACTGTATTAATTATGAAGCTGTTGGCCACTTGCTTGGTTTCTTACTGGCTAGCTCTGACTTAAGTGTTTACCCCACAACTGTTAATCTAACTATTTTCTCTTACTGGAGGAAAGGGTCCAGACCTCTTACTTCTATAGCGGCTACATGGTGACTCCCTGTGCTTCTCTTTCCCAGAATCCTCCTCGACTCCTAGTCCCACCTATCTTGCTTCCCTATAGGCCAACAGTGCTTTATTCAACAACCAATACAAGACAGATTTACATCATGGCAACTCCCATCAACAAGTCATTCTTATTTGGGGGTGTATTTGAGACAAGAGTCTCATACAGCCCAGGCTGGCCTTGAATGCCCCATTTTTCTGCTTCTGCTTCCCACGTTCTGGACTATTGGTATTGGTCAACATGCCTGGTTTAGCCTCCTCCTCCTCCTCTTCCCCAAAGATTGAACATGTGGGCTACCACACAGCTATATATCAAACACCCCCCCCCACATTACTCTTTTTTGTGTGTGTGCCATTACGGGATATACTAGTAGTTTAAAAGATTGGGGGAGGGAGCATGGGGATACAGCTCAGTTGCTAGAGTGCTTGCCTAGCATGCATGAGGCCCTGGGTTTGACTCCCAGCACCGCAAAAACTAGACATGGTAGTGTACTTCTACAACCCCAGTACTCGGGGAGGTGGGGGCAGGAAGGTCAGAAGTTTAAGCCAGTCCTTGGCTATGCATTGAGTCCTCAGGCCAGTGCCTGGTTTAAAAATTGAGACCCTGAAGGGGAGAGAGAGAAAGAGAAAGGCCACTTCTTACTGGTTTAACCTATATTTTACTCTCATGTTTGTTGGCACAGACACATCTTACAAAAGTCCTTTCTCTCTAGAATCTTGTAGATATGGACTAGAAGAAGAAGAAAACAAAAGAGCAGGCATTGGAAGAGAGAAAAGATGGTCCCTCTTGAGAAAGGACCATAACAGCCACCATATTTTTCTTCCATGGTGTCAGGCCTGATTCCACTGCCATCCAAGCTTCGCCTTGATATATTTTGCTGATAGGAACAAGTACCTCCCTCTCTTCTGGGGTCCTCTGTGCTCTCCTGGGTTCACTCGTATGCCTCCAGAGGCCAGCAGGATGACTGGTCACCCCATTTGAATGGGCTTTCTAAGAAATCAACAGATGACAAGTAGGCCTCTGTTTTACCAGCTTCAGTGCCGTTATTATTATTAATATTACGCAGACACTTATTTACTCATATATCTTATATATTTGAGCACTCGGTCTTCATCACACCAGAAGAGGGCATCAGACCCCATTACAGATGGTCGTGAGCCACCATGTGGTTGATGGGAGTTGAACTCAGGACCTCCAGCAGATCAGTCAAGTGCTCTTAACCTCTGAGCCATCTCTTCAGCCCCTCAACATTATGGAAAAAAAAACTATAGCCCTTTAAATGTGAAGTCATTCAAGTTAAGGATCTGAGGAAGTGTTTACTATTTGCTTTTCGGAGTGATCCGTCCCTTTCACATCTATAAATAATTTGGGAATTGAATATGCCTATGCTAACACCCGGCGACAGGACATGGATTCAGTCACAGCACAGTCTGTGAGCACATGTTTTTGTTTTGTTTTAAGCCTTAATATGGCCTGGCTGCATTTCCTTCACGTTGCAACATGACTTCCAAACTGAGAGAGGGGGTTAGTTTCTCTCGGTGGCTCTGTGTGTGTGTGTGTGTGTGTGTGAGTGTGTGAGTGTGTGTGTGTGAGTGTGTGTGTGTGTGAGAGTGTGTGTGTGTGTACACTCTGGCACACGTGCCCATGCACACACATGTGCATGTTGCAACACACTGCTCTCCCACTCCACTTCTGGCCTTGGTGAGTGAAGTGGGAACGCGTGACAGCCTTGTAAACTGGGATACTTACTGATACTGTGACCAGCTGCCCCCTAAACACAATGCCAAAGAAAAATGCTGGCGCCTTCCTCTTTCGGAGAGGTGACTGGATCTGATGAGTCTGTGACAAGCTGGTCTGAGGCTTGGGTGAAGCCACAGCTCAAACGCCCTCTGAACCTGGTGGATCTCACAGAAGCTATGAAGCACAAACCGGCAGGGGCTGCCTGCAACCTTTTGAGTGGCTATGCCTTGGGTGCACATGACACCTCTTTGTGGTCAGGCGTCTGGCCCAGATCAGCCTCTTTAAGGGACTGGGAATGGAAGTCTCGACAGGAGAGAAAAGGAGGAACATTTAAGTCATAACTACCAGAAACGTTTGTATGGGGGCGGGTAGTGGAGAAGGGGATGACTGGAAAACTCCCGAACAAGTCTACAGGGCTTCTGGGGTCTGGCACAGGGAATCAGAAAACAACGTAGCCCACAAGGTAACAAAGCATCGCCTCAAGAGAGAGGAGCGCAATGAAATCAGTCTTGGAGAGCAATGCAGCGGCGTGGCAATCCCAGGCCGTTTCATTAGCACTGTTGGGTGAGCACTTAGATTCATTCCCATCAGGGCACGGAAAAGAAAGACCCTATTGTGAATAAATAGGTCCACCCTCTTGGGGTTCCCCGTCTAAAAAGACTAAAATTGCTGCAGCCTGAAGATGTTTGTGGACAAAAACTGCCTGGCATTGAACATGTCTAGACTTTTCATGTCACTATTTCCTAAACAAATCCACATGACTACACACAGCGCGTTCGCATTGTGTTTGATGCGGTGACTAACCTGGGGATTACCTGAAGTATACGGAGGAAGGATGTGCATCGGTTATTTGCAAATATTGCCATTTCCCACTATGGAATCGAGCACCCGTCAGTTTGGATATTTCAGAGGAGGCTCCAGGAATCAAGGCAATAAGGGCACCACCGAAGGACTGTTTGTTTATGCTGTCAGCCATGTTGTTCTTTTGCTTAAATTAGAAGACACAAGATGGAACCGGCCCGCTGGAACAGGAACCAAGAGATACATTAACCAGAGAGTTTATCCCAGGTGGGGGGGGGGGGGTGGCGGAGGAAACAGGAAGAGGGTAAGGGGAAGAGAAAAGAGGAAACAGGAAGCGGAAGGGTGAAGGGTAGAACACATGGAGGTGCTCACTTAAAAGGGGAAGCTTGCACATGCTCACTGGGTCCTTACGCGGCCCTACGAGATGAGGACTTGACCACGCCACTTTGCGTGCCCCGCCCGTTGTCAGGGGGGCGGGGTCAGCATGGTGTTGAGTTCCAACAAGCCAGACACATACATAGCATATACATATACATCTGCGCATAGGGTGGCAATGCGAAGTGTGTAGCCATCAAAAACAACAACAAAAATCCTGCAGCTGGACCCGAGCATTTTGCTGAATCTGGGGCCCTGGAAGAAAGGAACCCCCATTCTACATGAGGGCAGAAAAGGGCTACTTTGGATCCTTTGCATCTTTGTCCTTAAGGGCTTTTGCTTCAGTCTTCTGAGGACAGAAGGGGCAAGGGAGGGCAGTGCTGGCTGGCTTTAACTGGAAACCACAAGGCTCTGTCCCCACTCCCAGCAGCAGCCTTTGAGACTGGGACTTTCCCCCTGCTGACCAGCTAGAATGACCCCAGGGACAACTCTCACTCTCCCAATGCAGCCCATCAGCTCCCTGTTGCTTTCCTACCGGGGGGGGGGGGACCCTTCACCTCAACTCAGGTCAGTTTTGGCCAGAGTGAGAAATTGCGGCAGAGCTTCTGTGGAATAGCCGGATGACTGAAGGCTGAACCCCGGGGACCTGGATGAGAAAGGCATTTGGGCTAAATTACAGTGGAGACCTGGAATTTGCATTTTATTTTATTCTCTTTCCCGTTGAGGCCCCTACACGGTAAAGGAACGATTTTGCTTTTGTCCATAAAATTCTAGCATGCAAATTTAGACAGTTCTGGAGGGCACAATGACAGTGTGGAGGGTTAAAACTGCTGCACGCTCGCCCGAGAGCTGATTACTTAACTGCATTTCCTGTAAGGCGCTTTTCATAGTGGGATGACTCAGTCCTGCATAAACCCACAGTGGGGGGACCTCACTCGGGACAATTATATTGAATCATGTGCCTTCCCCAAACAATTTGCTCTGTGGGGAAGTCCCAACTCGCGCCTGGCATCCTTTCACATGGTCCCTATTTTACGTTCTTAGCCTCAGTGGGAGAGGAAATGGATGTGATCAGTGTTGTGCCGGGAAAGGGCCATCTACTCGGGGTCCGCGGGCTTTGTACACATCATTTGAAGCAGCCCGAGGGAGGCTTTTCTTTGTACAAGTCAGAAGGCTGCTTGGAGTTTGTGTGTATTGATACACAGTGGTTAGGAAGTAAATAAACCGGGATGAGTAAGTGAGGAGAATTAAGTGTGGGGCAGAGGCTTTCTGGGAGGGCTTGGGGGGAGTGGGGGAGGGCTCAGAAGGAGCGGGAGCGAGGAGGAGGAGGAGGAGGAGGAGGAGGCGTGGGCAAACACTGGCTGCTGTCAAGCCTCCGCCGCGTGCAACAAAGGTGGTGGCAATCGCTTGTGTAGCTTGCGACCAGAAAATTAATTGATGTACATGCAACACTCACTTAATTTGCCTAATTACAATTTGTTCACACCCGCACCACGGGGCTTTGCTACAAATGATTCCCCCCAGCTCAGTCCACTGGGTGGAAGGTAAAAGCGCCGCTCTGAAGTGGGTTGCGTGGGGGGGGGTTGCATACAGCATCCTCCCCCCACCAAATTATTAATTGGTTCCCCGGGGCGGCGCCTCGGTTTCTGAGGTTCTGCTTAATTGCTGTTCACGTCAAGGTTAAACATATGCCCCCACACACACACCCGGGGGTAAGTGGAGGTACCTGCTAACCCAACTGCACGCCTGGCTGTCAGCGTCGTGTTTACACTCACGGCTGGGGAGCTCATGTCAACACATTCTTTCCATGAAAACAACATGTTTTCTGCTGTCGCTGATCGCCAAGGCTGTGTGTCTTGATGTGTAGACTGTAAAAGAGGGATGGGATTGGGGGCATGTTGGGGGGTAAGGGGTGGGATGTGTGTAGTGTGCCCTGCCTCACATGGTATCATGTCTGGGGGAGGGGGTGTCTTCCACCGAGATGGGGTGAGCTCTCAGCCGTGGTCCAGCGTGGTTCCCCTTCCCTAGGCCCAGTGGATTTTGTCTCAGCTTTTGTAGGACCAGCATGGGAGTGACAGCTTCCTTCTGTACCTTTGACAAGACAGCAGGTCCAGTTCCTTCCTGAACAGGGCAGAGGATGGCAGCATGGGGGGGGGGGGTCAGGGAGGGTGGTGGGGAGGATAAGAGGCCCGGGGGGGGGGCTTTTCCTCCTCTCTCCCACAACCCTACTTTGTAATTCAAATAACCCTTTCTTTAACAAACAGGACGGGGTGTGGGGGGGGCGGCCTTAAATCTTCCCAGGCAGTTAAGGAAATTTCTCATTTTATGAGCGAGGATAATCCTTTCAACGTCTTCAGAAATAAGTTTACAAGCCCCACACGCCTGGTGAGCCATGGGGGTGTGGGGGGGTGCTGTGTGACAAATTGGGGTCACAGAGCGTCTTCCAGGCAGTCTGTGTGACACAGGGCAGTGAAAACCCCTCAGGCTTTGGCAGGTCCAGTGTGGTAAAGAGAGCTAGGCCGATTCTCCTCTGGCCTCACAAAGGGCACTGTCACTGCCAACGGCTGCTAAGGCCCAGGAAAGGCTTAACGGAAGTAGACGCTGCAAGCTGATAGGGGTATCGGGAACGAACAGGGAGAGAAAAAACAAACAAACAAACAAACAAAAAAGCAAAAACAAAAATGGAAATACCTGCTCCGTACGCATCAGATTGGCAGCGACTGCTAGTGGGCACACCCACGAAAACGGAAGCGTGGTTGAGTCTTCTCCCGGGCCAGCAGGTGACAGCAGCGCGGAGCCGCGCAAGGAGACCGGGACACGCAAACCCCACATGGTCTAAGGCGATGCTTGGAAGCCCAGTTACGCCACAGACGGCCTCGCCAGAATTGGAAGCTTAGGCCTACCAGCCTCCTGGAAAGATGAACCGGGCCAGGATGAAAGGGGAAATTTTTGCATCCGAGTTGGGGGTGGGCAGAAAACGCAAACTAGTGAAAGGCGAACACAAGAGGGGATCCGAGGACAGAGCATGTTTATCCCTCCTAGACGGTCCACTGCGCACTAGTTAACTGACTTTTTCTTTTATTTTGTGTGTGTGTGTGTGTGTGTGTGTGGGCGCGCACACGCGTGCTCGCGCGTGTTGGGGGTTGGTTTGTACACAGAGACCCCAAGTTAACAATAAGGTGTCTTTCTTAATTGCTCTCCAGCTTATCTTTTGAGGCACAGTCTCTCTCTGAACCTAGAGCTCACTGACTGGCCGGGCTGCCTAGTCAGCCAGCTACAGACATCCTCCAGGACCCCGCCTCCCCGGGAACTAGGCTCACAGAAGGGGACCACAGCATCTGGATGTATGTTTGCTGTGGCTGCGGAGAACAGAATGTATGATTGGCCTTGTGATTCGATGGCTTGAATGTTGCAGCCGTCTCCGCAGCCCCGGGGTCGCGACCTCCGACGGGTCACCCGCAGTTGCCGTCTCTGCTCTGGCTTTTGGTTTCCCTTCGCTGCTTTGGTACAGACGGATACATGAAAAATGGCGTCACGGTTCAAGTGGGAAATTTGGGCAGCGTGAGGGGAAACAGTACGGGCTGCAGTTTAGCTGGTGTTAGGGGATGGCGTGTCCTTAGAAATAGCAGAGTGTCGTCCAGCCATTAGACAGAAGAAAAAGTGACAAACACGTTGCCCTCCTGGTTTTCAGGGAAAAGGTTTGGAAGGATAAGACAAACACACCATTTTCCAGGAGAGATTCTGTCTCTACTATTCAGCTGAGGCTAACAGATCACGGCTTGGGGCTCTCCGGTCTGCCTCGTGGCTGTTATTACCCACATAAAAACCCGGAACATAGAAAATCGCCACTATCCTGAGTTTGCCTGAAAACAGGAGAAGTCATCTCCAAAGAAAGCCGAGGGAGATGGCTGCTCAGGGGGAGCCCGACTGAAATGAATGAATTCTGAGACGCTGGGAACTAGGGAGGAAGAAAGAACTCATGCTCTCTGGACCACATCAGTGGGTGTGGGTGTGGGGACAAGGAGAATAAGGACAGAGCATGCCTTGTCAACCAGTGGGAAACTGTCCGGAGGTTTGTAGAATACCAGGGTTCTCTTGCCTTTCATACCAAAACCCCAAATTAAGTTAAAAACAACAACAACTTTATTATCCTACGGACATGACTCAGCATGTTGGCTCCAAAAGGGATGAAACACTTTCATGGAGAAATATGCTTTTGGTTTGGTGACAGCTTATGGCTGCTTTCCTGGAGGGGCACGGCATGGCTTTTCCCCCAGGTGAGTCTGAGTTTGGGGGCTTGACTGTAGGAATCTATCTGCCCTCATCTTTCCTTCCTCCTTGGGCACTCTCAGGAATCGCACCGAAGACAGCAGCAGAGAAGCAACCAGAAGGGACAAAGTGGGTGGGGGAGGCGAGTGGAACAAAAATGGATTATGAATTTGAAAATTGCCAATTATCTCGTATCATACAGTCCAGAGCCCTGGCACAATGATCAGCCACGACACAGATTTTCTAGCTTAAACGCTTTTCATTCAAGCAAGCAAATTAACCATAAAATGGGGGGGGGGGAGGGAGGGGACACACAAAATAATCCCAAGAAAGAATAAACTGCAGATAATAAGCACCAATCTGGCGTTGAATGCAGCCCAAGATACCAATTGTTTTAAGTCACGACAAAGACAGCTGAATGCTCGTCTTCTGGGTGCAGAGCAAGGATGATTGCTTGCCATGAGTATCTTCTCTCACAAATAACAGTTTTTTTCCGCTCTTAATTTTCTGCTAAATTGGAAGCTAACTGCTTCCCACATTGTCATCCGAACACCTGCAGCTGTGCTGGATCTCGGCGCACCATTTCTTTTAGGTAAAACAGCACTCCACTTCCTTCAGCTCCTCATTATGCCGAGGTCTTCCTTTCAACTGCGCCCGCGGCACTAATGATTCAGGCAGGCCGGTCAGTCATTAAGTGACAAGCAAATGATACCGTGTGCAACGTGTGAGTAATCGGTCTGAACAAATGAAATCACAGACTTGCCTTTCTCATCATTCACTTCACAAACAGTAGCAGTGTGGCGCACAGCAGGTAGCTCCGTTAAAACCAGCCTTGTAAAACAAATTCTCCCCCCCGCAGCCCGTGGAAAGGGACCGGTGATGGGCTGGATGCCTCAACCTCCTGGATGGTGCCCAGAGAAGTTAAGGATGGCTGAGGGGTGGGGGCGGCGGAGGGAGGAGCTGGGAAGAGAGCCTTGGGACATACATTAGAGTAATTAAGGGTTTTCGTGTCTTATTGGTATGGTTTTCCATTTGTATGGATCTCAGAAATGACTGTTGGGTTAGCAAACCAAAACATCCAGCGTGCCGTGTGCGTTGTCAGGAGGGAGCTGTTAAGAGACTGACGTTAAGTTCCTAAATAAATGTTCTAAATTTGGAGCCCCAAAGACGTCACTGGTGTCAGATGGATCGCTAGGAAGCTGGTGATGCAAATACCCAGGGACAGCAACTCCACAGCTCTTATTTTCACAGCAGATCCCCCCTTTTGATTCAATCTCGTGAACAGTGCAAACTAACAGGGACCTGACTTGCTCTAGAACTTCAAAAGCAGTGAATTCGTCTGAGGGAAAGAGGAATACGAAAGGAGCCAACTCAAAACATCTCTGCAACCACTGTCTTTCTGTTTCTAATATCTGGCCTGTAGCTCTTGGGCAACATCGGCCAGCATAGGGGAGGGTAGCTTTCTTTTAGGGACTGAGCTCCCGTTGGGTTTGGCTCACCGTTTCTCCCCGGTTCTGCTTGACGGGTCACACGGCATTTTTTGGGTCTAAAATGTGTTCTTAACAGACAGGCCGGACTTTGTGAGTATGTGACATCAACTCCTTTCTGCCAACAGAGACAAAATGGAGTCTACAGCCAAACTTTAGTTTTCCTTCCCCTGGTCATCCCAGTTTTGGCGTCAGATGCACTCATCCCGCGCTCTTCGGTTAAATGATGAAAGTTACCAGACGAGGACCTGAGTGGCTGGGTTAACAGGAGCCAGCAAGCTGTGTCCACGCTGCAGAGTCAGGACAAGCCAAGCATCGAGGGAGGCACGCAGGAGCCCAGCACTGCGTCCGAGCACTGGATTTTCATTCCAACCCCCTAGACACACACACAGAATAAACAGGTGTCTACCGCCTCCCTCCGTTCCCCAACACTTGCTATCACTCAGTGACACCCCTAGCCTGACCCCCAAGCTTCCATATCTGAAACTGTTTCAGTACTAACTTGATACTAGATGTGGAAAGGTCTACACTGACCTCATGTGACAAATCACAGTAAAATGCAAAATCAGTACACTTAAAAATACCACTCAAAAGGTCCTCAGGCTGTGTGTGTATCAGGTGTACAAAAACCATACATGGGTTTCATATTAGACTCACATCAAGACTCTCACCGTGCAAAGACCCTCCCCCCCCAATCCAAAACGCCCCCAGAATGTGGATAAGGGGTGCTCAACCTGTACAAAAAAATATAGAAGGAAGAATGTTCCTTCTGGTTAGGAAAATTTGAGCAACGAAACTCCTTTGGAGAATTTTTAGGCTGGGACCTTTCCATGAAAAGGTTTGAACCCATTGGTTCAAGTTCTCATTCCATGTCTAGAATCACAGGACTCAGGAAGCAGAAGCAGAAAGGTCAGGAGTTCACCACCAGTCTTAGAAGCACAGTGAGTTGGAGTTTGAGGCTTGAAGGGGTCATGGAGACCAGCTAAGCCCTTGGTACCATGCGTCAGGGTCAGAGTCCCCGAAAGGAGCCCAGGAAAGGCTAATGGTGAAGGTGCAGGCCAGTTGTCGCAGAGACTCCAGCATTTTGGAGATGCCAGTAGGTAGCATGGGATGGCCATCAAGAACATCAGCGGCTGTGGGGTGGAGCTGTCATGAGCCTCTGAGATAAGCTGAGTGTGTGTCGGAGGGCAGAGCTATGAGTCCTTTGGAACCCACATTATGAATGGTCCCAGAAGACTGACGCTGAGCTTTTATACAGTCAGACTTTGGTTTGCTTTGATCTGATGTAACTGGTCCTTCCTGTTTGAAATAAAAAAGTATGTAGAGCTTATACTTTTTTATTTACAGGAGCCCACAGTTTAGAGATTCTGAAATTTTAGATAGGCTTCAGGATTTGGGGGTTTGGCGATTTTAGAGAAAACTTTGGATATGTTAGAGAGGCTTGGGACTTGGAAAGAGACTTTGGATATTTTAAACAGATTTTAAAGCGTTTGAATTTTTAGATGCAGTGGGACTTTTTTTTAAAAGTTGGAATGCTTTATATTGTGATATTAATACCAACATGAGATCTTCAGGATAAGCAGGAAAATAAAGGCTGAAGTTTAAGAATGAGTCAAGTTTATGTGCCAAGTTGACAAGAGATCAATTGTGCTGGCTGGCTTTATATCAGGCTGATATGATAGAGTCATTTGGTAAGAGGGAACCTCAATTGAAACATTCCTCTGTCCAACTGGCCTGTGGATCATATTCTTGATTAATGATGGATGTGGGTGAGTCTATGCTGCTGGGGGTAGCGCCCCCTGTGGGTGAGTCCATATTTCTGGGGGTAGCACCCCCCGTGGGTGAATGAGTGGTTCTGCATGGTATAAGAAAAAAGTAAGCCACAGGAAGCAAGCTAGGAAGCAGTGCTCATTTATGTCCTCTACTTTCAGTTGCTGTCTTTAGGTTCCTGCCTTGTCTCGAGTTCCTGCCCTGACTTCCTTTGGTGAAAAGACTGTAATGTGGCATGGTAAGCTAAAATAAACCTAAGCTGCTTTTGGCCATGACGTTTTTTTGTCACAGCAACTGACAAGTAACCAAGACAAGACAAGACCCTGTCCTCTTAAATTCTTTTTTTTTTTTAAGAAAGAAAAAGAATAGAAATCTTGACAATGAGCAATGAGGTGACCTCTGCAAAGAAGGCTCTCTTCCAAAGGATGAGTATCCATTTCTTCAATCCTGTTTGTGCTTGGCTGTAAGTCTACCAAGGGCCTC